GGTAGCTGGGTGGACTCTCTGATCTGTGACGCAATCCCCTGCTAGTAAAAGGCAGGGAACTCAAGTCTGGCAGCCTTTCCTTTCTATTTCTGGACAAAAGCCCAGTGAAGCTGAGTTGTGTGTCTGGGAAAGACCTGCTTCCCAACGGCAAGACTGGGCATTCTCTCGTCTCAGGCTCTGGCTTGTCTCTGTAGTTGACATCAGTCTAAAGATCCAATGTCTGCCCATGCCCTTGTGCAGAAGACTTAAGGGTAAGAGTCTGTGGAGGACATGGGATGTCTTCCTCCATGACTGAAGTGCTGTTGCAGAGCCCGTGGCCCTCCAGGACCCCAGGCCACTTTCCTTCCCCACTTTGCTGGGACTGCTTGGAACTGGCCAAGAGATAAGGTGCATTTCTGAAAGCCGAGAGAGGTAACGGTTTGGATGGCTAAGATAGAGTCATGTTAGGATAAGAATGGAAGAAGGATAAGGAAGTGACACAAACGATTTTTAGAAGACTGTATATTCTGCAGCTTTGGGGTGAAATGTTCTATAAAAGTCAATTAAATCCATTTGATCCTGTGTCCTTTATTTTTAAAAAAATATATTTTATTGATTTTTTTTACAGAGAGGAAGGGAGAGGGATAGAGAGAAACACTGAGGAGAGAGAAACATCGATCAGCTGCCTCCTGCACACCTCCTACTGGGGTTGTGCCCACAACCAAGGTACATGCCCTTGACTGGAATTGAACCCAGGACCCTTCAGTCCGCAGGCTGACGCTCTATCCACTGAGCCAAACCGGTGAGGGCCCATGTGTCCTTTAGAGTCACTGTTTCCTTTGTTAATTTTTTGTCTGGAAGATCGATCCAGTGATGTCAGCGGTGTTACAGTCTCCTACTATGACTGTATTGTTGTCAATCTCTCACTTAAAGTCCTCTAGAAGTGACAAAAACTATATTTAAAAGAGGGGAAATGCTAGGGTTAGGATCCTTATGAGCATCAAGGAAGGGAGACTTAAAGAAGATTTAGGGACATAGGGAAATATATAAGGTTCTGAAAATTTAGAATCCTTCATCACATCAAAATTAATTACCCTGTCATCGGACACAAGATGAGTAAAGTTCACTAGTAAGTGCCACCCTTAATTAAGACCAGGGCAAGATGTTGCCAGGGCTGTTTCATACCAGGCCCCTTCCTAGCTCACAGGGCTGAGGCATGACCTCACGTTGCAGTCCGGGGATCTTCTACTGGTCTGAGGCCCAGGCCTGGGAAGGGTTCCAGAAGCAACAGCTATGCTGTGCTCCAGCCTGATGCCACATGGTCTCGAGCTGAGGCAGCAAAAACCCTGTGATCAAAGAGAGTCTGCAAATCCCACAGCCTGTTACAGGGCTCGAGAAGGAAGCAGGTGGCATTGGGACAAATGCCCTGCATGGCCAGAAGCCACCTGAAGGCCACAGGAGTTTGCAAAGGTGTGCAGAAGAGCTGTGGGAACTGAGCTATGCTCAGGACAATGAGGCAGAGACAGGATGGAAGGTGGGATGTGGGATGTCACGAGGGGCTCTAAAAGTAGACGAAGCGGGTATTGGAAACCAGCAGACAAACCAGACTCATTGGCGCAGAGGCCTGGGCCCAGGGGGACAGCTGGAGGGGGGAGTCAGGCAGTAGATATTGACGTATTCGTCTGAATCAGCATCCTCCATCATGGCGGCAGGCTGGTGGTAAATGGTCATATATTCACAGCTGGTCTTCGGAGATGGCACGTGGGGCCAGGGAGCTTCCGACACCTGGGAAAACCAAGGAAGCATGACTGGGTCTGGGTGGAGTGACTTTCTATTTCTCCAGCTGGATTCCCTCAGCGGGCAACGGCGGGCATGCAAATGGGTGCTGACTTCCAGAAGGCAACGACACAGAGGTGGCTGCGCTCCATCAAGCAGCTCCGCCCTGGGGATTTTCGGGGCGGCATCTCACCAGAGATAACTGGAAAACACTTAGGTCTAATGTGGGCAGGAAATGCCTTACATGGGGCTCCGACTACTGTCACGTGGTTAAGCACCTGTCTGGAGGAGACTTGGCTGCCTGAGGAGTTTCCCCTCTGGGATTGGATGCTGTGACTTGTGGAATGAATATACATCCTCAAGGGAGTTATTCAGAGGCAGGTGAGTCACCCCTGCGCCTCTGGAAGGCTCGGAGAGGCAGTGACGTGGTGTGACAGAGCATTCCAGGAAGGCGCTGGGTGGTGAAGGGGAGAAAGGCAGCAGGACCTGTGGGCCCAGGGGTGCTCCTTTCCCCAGAATCACCTGCCTTCAGGATGGGTCAGTTCTTGGGGGACAAGGCTGAACCATGACCCAAGAAGGCTGTGGTGGTGATGGGTCACATGTTTATTTATGTATTTATTTTAAATATATTTTTATTGATTTCAGAGAGGAAAAGAAAGAGAGAGAGAAACATCAATGATAAGAGAGAATCATTGATCAGTTGCCTCCTGCACACCCCACTCTGGGGATCAAGCCCACAACCTGAGCATGTGCCCTTGACTGGAATCAAACCTGGGACCCTTCAGATCCCAGGCCAACCCTCTATCCACGGAGCCAAACCAGCTAGGGTATGGGTCACATGTTTAAACACAACTGCTGAGAATTAGAAGTCTGGCCCCCTAAACACAGTAGGCACTCAGTAACTGCTCATTGAAAAGACCAGTTACTTTTGGTCCTTAGCTCCCATTGCCTGTTATAATTTGCCATTTGAGATTAATTTGTCTTTAAAAATTAAAATATTCCCCGTGAAGGCTACAATATTCAGTCATTAATCATATGCGCCTTGTTGAGAACCTGTTCCATCAAGATTTTTGTCCCTAATGGTAGGAATGAGAGTTTCAAGCAAGGAGGAAGGATAAAAGTTGAGCAAGCTGATGAGGTGAGGGCTGTATGGCCACAGGGCAGCTCTAGACAAAAGGGTGAGAATAAGGGTAGAGTGGGTAGAGTCTGGGCACTGCTGGACCTGCCTAAGCTACCGTGAACCCTCTCCAGCAGGGGCGAGTGACCGCAAACTCAAGAAGCAGGAGGCGACTGTGGCAGAGCTGTCACTGGCTGTGGGCATCACTCTCCCCTTTTTAGCACATGATCTCGCCCAGCCAGTGACTACATTTCTCAGCCAGTGGATGGGGAGGAAGTGATGCGTCTTAAAGAGGCAGTGTTCTTTTCCTCCCTCTATGGGCTGGAATGTGGCTATTGAGCACTGACCATGGTCCAGGCAGACGCCAGGGGTGGGGGACCAACAAGACAGAGGTGTTTTAGTCCCTGGACGGCCTCCTGCCCTTACTTGGGAGGAAACAGGTTTCCATCTTGTGAGCCCTCGGTTTAAGGTCTGTTGCTTTAGATTAGTCCTCACCAGCGGTTCTCAACCTGTGGGTCGCGACCCCTTTGGGGGTTGAACGACCCTTTCACAGGGGTCGCCTAAGACCATCGGAAAACACATATATAATTACATATTGTTTTTTGATTAATCACTATGTTTTAATTATGTTCAATTTGTAACAATGAAATTGGGGGTCACCACAACATGAGGAACTGTATTAAGGGGTCACAGCATTAGGAAGGTTGAGAACCACTGGTCTACACCCTAATTTAAAAACAGACTTTGGCCACCCTAGCCAGTTTGCTCAGTGGACAGTGTCGGCCTGTGGACTGAAGGGTCCCAGGTTGGATTCTGGTCAGGGGCACGTACCTTGGTTGTGGGCACATCCCAGTAGGGGGTGTGTAGGCGGGAGTTGGTCGATGCATCTTCCCTCTCCCTTCCTCTCTGTAAAAAAAAAAAAATCAATAAAATAGATTTTAAAAATAAAAGAACACTTTGGCCATGCTTCGTTTTTCCTGGTCCCTAAGCAAATAGTGTTTTAGCTACTGTGGGCTACTTTAGAGAATAAAGTCTTTTCCTCCCTGACTTTGGGAAAACAAAGATGAGTCGATAGTTTGCCCATCTGCCAATGGCCACGGACAGAAACCCGAGTTCCTATGTCCATTCCTAGATTTCAAAAGGAACCCTCCTCACCCCAGGTGTTGAGTCCTCTCTACATCTTGCCATCTGCCAGGTCATTCTCGGGGCTTCACTGCCTCCAGGGATGGGTAAACGAACTCCTCTCACCATGGAGAGCCCACTTGGAAGTTCTCCTTCATATTAAGGTGAAAATGTGTACTTCCACCCCCTTCAGGCCTCCTAGAAATCGAATCTCTCCCCCGAGAGCCCCTCGTGTGCTGGATTACCACCCATCAGCCTCTACTTAGCACCCACGGAAATGCTTGGCTAAAAGCCAGGTAACTAAGTCTACCCCGTCGTTGGGCAGGCCCTTCCCGGACTCCGCGGGAGCAGCTGGGAAAGCCCAGCCCGGGAGCTACACGTGGCTGGGGCCATGGCTTTCTCTGGGACCGCCCCGTCGGGCCACCGCGGCTGTTCTTACCTGGGCCGGGGCAGGGCGCACCTGCGGCGGGGCGGGCGGGGCGGGCGGCGCCGACGCTCCGGGGC